ATATCCTGTATAATCCCGCCCCCAAGATAACTGAGTTAGTGGCTGTGGGGAGTGAAAAGGAGCCATTCTTAATCCTTGATATGATTTACAGTGTATAGCTTGTGTCTTGAAAAACAAACCGCTTAAATGGCTCAAAGGAAATAAGTCCTACTTTTTGTTGCTTCAGTGTTGTGAGATTTAAATCAGTGGGCTAATCTGTAGTAGATGTGGTGTAAGGCATGTGTGGATTCATACAGTTTTGCGTTAAAATATTTCCTAAGTAGCCTAAACCCACAGTTATTTTAATCCAAGGACTCACCTACCCAGCATTTTTCTTTCAAGTGTTTTGCAGGTGTTTCGTTGAATTAACACTGTCAAAAAGAATAAAAGGAGCGTGGTAATATTTCAACTTTATCTTGATAACACAAAATCACAGCTTGTGTAATGGAATATGAGCATTTCAGGCACAATCTTTTTACATATCAGAGTGGAAGGTTAATACGTACATAGAAAAAGGTCCAAAACTACCAGGATCTGTTAAAGCCAGATGCTTTCTATCAGACTTAATTGTTCTCTCTCTTGAGATCCAGGCATAAACTTTATATCTCAGGCTCAGGATTTTCCCATTTCTTTCCTGTTATTTCTTTGGCTATTCATGACTCCAGGTTTTGTTTTGCAACAGACTTTTCACTATAGTGGTTGGATTCGTATAGGGACAGTGACATGCTCTTTACTTTGTTAGTTCTGGACTTACCTAGTGCACTTGTTTTTCAAGCATGTGGAACTTCAGTAGACAGAATTAGTTCAGTGAACAGGTCAAGGTTCCCAGAGCATTCTGAGAAGCTGCTTGCTTATAGAGGCTAATTACGTCAACTAAACTCTGCTGCCACTTTCCATCACTAGAGGTAACACTCTAACTGTAAAATGGTTTTGATATATACTAAAACAACTGCTATGATTGTGAATCCTGAGACTCCTTTTTTTTTTCTTTCTTTTTTTTTAATGAAACGAAACAAAACCTTGATGGAAGCATAAAATAATTGTGGAACATTATCTGATCAAGTCAATTTAAATTGTAATTGAGACTATAGCAATGCATATTTTGCCTGTCACATCTATTCAAAATGTGGGAATTTCCCAGCAGCATTGTTTTGTTCTCATTGTTGGCAAACAGTTTTTCACAATTTGCTTGTAACATTTTAACAATAGCATTAAAAATACATGGTTCATCTTGTTATACTCAGGATATTCTTGATTCTCTTATATTAAATATGGCTATTTAGTACAGTACAGTATGTCATTTATAATGGTAGCTGTGATGGGTTCGGTTACAGAGACCTCCTTGGGACTGTCACCTGATGTGCTGAAACTACCTCTGAGCCCGTTTTCTCTGATGGCTTGAGACTTCAGAACCCTGTCTTGTTGAGCCAGACATGCAACCCTGCTGCAACACAGGGTCTGAACCACGGCCTTAAAGCTGCAGACTTAACTGAAAACAGCTTAAGAAGTGTTCCTGTCTCCAGCACCCAGACAACAAACCCCAAATAAATCCGTTTTACTCTCTATAAAGCTTATACAGGGTAAACTCATAAATTGGCCACCCTCTATAACACTGATAGAGAGATATGAACAGCTGTTTGCTCCCCCAGGTATTAATCACTTACTCGGGGTTTACTAATAAACAAAAGTGATTTTATTAAGTATAAAAAATAGGATTTAAGTGGTTTCAAGAAATAACAGACAGAACAAAGCAAGTTACCAAGCAAAATAAAACAAAACATGCAAGTCTAAGCCTAATACATTTAAGAAACTGAAGACAGATAAATCTCACCCTCAGAGATGTTCCAATAAGCTTCCAATCCTTTCCCCTGCTACAGACCTTGTTAGTTCCAGCTCAGGTGGTAACTTGGGGATTTCTCATGACTGGCAGCCCCCTTTGTTCTGTTCCACCCCCTTTCATAGCTTTGCTACAAGGCAGGAATCTTTTGTCTCTCTGGGTTCCTACCCCTCCTTTTAAAAGGAAAAGCACCAGGTTTAAGATGGATTCCAGTATCAGGTGACATGGTCACATGTCCTGAGAGACCCCCAAGCCCCCATTCTTCCTGGCTTGACTCACAGGAATGCAGGAAGGCTTGCGAGTAAGCAGAGCCATTTACAGGTGATTGATTCTGAAGCACCCTTAATTGCTTCCACTTAACATGTTTCCATCAGTAATACAAATTTATATCTTATTCTCCTAACTCCAGACATAGAACTAATACATGCATACAAATAGGATGAACACACTCAGTAGATTATAAGCTTTGTAATGATACCTTACAAGAGACCTTTTGCATGAAGCATATTCCAGTTACATTATATTCACACTCATTAGCATATTTCCATAAAACACATGGAGTGCAATGTAACAGTAGCCACCTATTGTGTCCCCCTTTTTATTCATTTCACGTAGCATCATAGAAGATTAGGGTTGGAAGAGACCTCAGGAGGTCAACTAGTCCAACTCCCTGCTCAAAGCAGGACCAACCCCAACTAAATCATCCCAGCCAGGGCTTTGTCAAGCCGGGCCTTAGAACCTCTAAGGATGGAGATTCCACCACCTCCCTAGATAACCCATTCCAGTGCTTCACCACCCTCCTAGTGAAATAGTTTTTCCTAATATCCAACCAATATCCAATATCCCACTGCAACTTGAGCCCATTGCTTCTTGTTCTGTCATCTGCCACCACTGAGAACATCCTAGCTCCATCCTCTTTGGAACCCCGCTTCAGGTAGTTCATAGAATATTAGGGTTGGAAGAGACCTCAGGAGGTCATATAGTCCAATCCCCTGCTCTAAGCAGGACCGTCCCCAACTAAATCATTCCAGCCAAGGCTTTGTCAAGTTGGCCCTTAAAAACCTCTAAGGATGGAGATTCTACCTCTAAGGATGGAGTTGAAGGCTGCTATCAAATTCCCCCCTCACTCTTCTCCGCTGCAGACTAAATAAGCCCAATTCCCTCAGCCTCTCTTCATAAATCATGTGCCCCAGCCCCCTAATCATTTTCATTGCCCTCCTTTGGACTCTCCAATTTGTCCACATCCTTTCTGTAGTGAGAGGCCCAAAACTGGATGCAATACTCCAGATGTGGCCTCACCAGTGCCGAAGAGAGGGGAATAATCAATTCCCTTGATCTGCTGGCAATGCTCTTACTAATACAGCCCAATATGCCATTAGCCTTCTTGGCAACAAGAACACACTGTTGACCCATATCCAGTTTCTCGTCCACTGTAATCCCCAGGTCCTTTTCTGCAGAACTGCTGCTTAGCTAGTCAGTCCACAGCCTTCCATCCTAAGTGCAGGATTCTGCACTTGTCCTTGTTGAACCTCATCAGATTTCTTTTGGCCGAATTCTCCAAATTGTCTAGGTCACTCTGGACTCCATCCCTACTCTCCAGCATATTTACCTCTCCCCCCAGCTTAGTGTCATCCGCAAACTTGGATCCGCAAACATCCCATCATCCAGATCATTAATGAAGATATTGAACAAAATTCATCATTTTTTCACTGATTTTAACATTTTTCCTACCATGGTTATTGATACTTGTTTATAGTCTCCTGGTTTTCTACATTGCTGATAACTGCTTGACAAGAAGCCCTTTCTCTGGAAAGGCCAATTCAGCAGAGCATAAGGTTAGAAGTTATATGTGAGAAGTAGCAAATTAAAAAAACAAAACCAGTACAAAGGAGAAGCCATATCAGGGAGGGCTAGAAAAGAAAAGGAAAGAGAACAAAAGAGAATAACTGAGAGAGGAGATAGATGATGAAAGAAAAGGGGGAAAGGAAATGTAGGGAAAAAAAAATAATGCGTCAGAAGAGGTGCACAGGACTTGAGTTAGACCCGTATTGTTGATTAAATCCATGCCACACATTCCAAAACCTAATTCCAATCCATTTCAAGATAAACATAGTAACCTCCATATAATATCTTTATATACCACTCAAAATAAAGGAAACTGATACAATGGAAACCCTGCGTATCTGCGGGTCACTGACCTTGAAACACTAACTTTAAGTTTGCTCCCCCAAATATAATAGATTGCTGAAGGCTGGCTAGCTATGTAAGAGAATGCAGCCCCTGTACTCAAGGACTCTGCAGCACATACATCTGCATGCACTGGTCAGACTTCACACATCAAGGTTATATCTGGTCTTGGTATAACTGAGAGTTTTGGTTAACCAGGATTCTCATCATCAAGGTTGACTACATTAACACAAGGAATGTTATTCTTGGACAGAAGGAATGAAAATAATTAGTGAAAATCCCTACTTCTTTCCTTTCCTTTCTGTTTTTTCCCCCCATGTTTCCTTTTATCTTTTCATTTCTCCTTTCTCCCACTCTCTCTTCTTTCTTGTCACCATATCTCTGCAGATACAATATCTTCTTTCCCTTCTTCCTTCAGCAAAATATGGCATGATTTGGGATATAGGCCAGGATTTATAAATGTGGTGTCTTTTGAACTGTGGGCAAGCATTAGTTTCTCTACTGCAATTGTCCTTTCTCCTCTCTGGTCTGGATTTTTTAATCTGTAGGCATTTACACCCATCTCCTCAAACTTTCCCAAATGTTTCTGTCCTAAATGTCACTGATTTTAATGGCTCAGAGGTGGAAAACTTGCTTTCATGACATCCCCTGATAGTAACATTAAGCCATGAACCATGATCTTATTCCATTTGATTGATGAGCTCATTTTGCAACAGAGGACAAATTAGATTTTTATTTATAATGGTGATAAAAATTAATGCATGGTCTTCCTATTCTGATGGTATTAGATTTCTGTGTTAATACACATTTTACTAGTCAAATCTCTAAGTGCTCCCCTGACCTTTTAAGGTTTTTTAAAAAGCCTTCTCTTACAGGTGAATACAATTCCTAGAGAAACAAAGTATTTCCTCCTTTTTTTATTTTCATTTTGACAGCTTGACATGCTTTTTTATGTCTACTGCTTAGATTTATTTTGTTACTTATTTTCTTGTTTTAGCACCGCCAAAGTTTACAAGAACTCCCGTTGATCAGACAGGGGTCTCTGGAGGAGTCGCATCATTCATCTGCCAAGCTACAGGAGACCCAAGACCTAAAATTGTCTGGAATAAAAAGGGAAAGAAAGTCAGCAATCAGAGATTTGAGGTATTAGGTCCATTGTTCTGTTCCTCTGAAAAACATTCATTCTAACATCACATTTATTTTATGTTTTTAATCCTGGTGAGTGTGCTTTATTATCAATGACTAAGCAAATAGCAATCACCACAGGGGATAAATCTTTGCAAGCAGTCCTGGGAATCACCTACTCTGCAAACTGGTTATCCGCAAGACCACAGAAAAGAAGACAGTTTTGCTATCTCTTAAGAGTTTCCTTTTGACTTTTTTTAAAGATTAGCATTGGGAACGGTCTCAGAGGAGGCGGCTTTCCTACCTTTCATGGCCAGAAATTGAACAAAATGATAACGACTGTCTACTAGTGGAGCGTTGGGGTGTTTCTGGGGGGTAATTCTGGGGACACTATTGCCTCTTTAAGTGGTGGGAGAAGTTAGGACTAAGGTTGGATTGGCCTATGGATTGTTCCAGATGCCTGTTCAAAGAAGATGACACCAAAAACCTGAAGTTGATTATGTATAACTTCAGCTGCATCTCTACTAGCTTCTCAGTATTAAAAATAGGATTTTGCTTTTAGAAAATAATCACAAAGCAAAATACTATTATAAATTATCTATCACACAGTTCTGACACATGCTATGTGAATGAATGGTCTAGACTTGCATGCCAGAATGTTTATTGGAAAATGTAAGTCTGTGCCTCTGACTATGAAGAGACAAACCAAAATGCATTGGGATAATTTTTCACAGGACTCTCCCAGGATGTTAGCTTTTAATGGTATTTGAGTTGATAACTCACATACGGCTTTGTAAATTAGTCCTGCTATGTCAATAGACCAAAGGCTACATTTTATTTCTTGTGTGGGCTAATCGTTTTATTTTAAGAGTATTTAAAAGCAATCAGCTCATGTTTTGGTACCATACAAGATCTATCAACCTTTCACTAGCTATTATGGTTCTTTGCAAATGTATTTAATTCAGTAAGAAAAATAGTTGTCAAAGGATTTTAAGATGTGTACTCTCCACTCAGTGCAAGTAATTGTTTACAGCTTTCAATGAATATGCACAATTCTTTTTTATGTAATTGGAGTGAGAGGAGAATAGGCACTTTATAATAAAGCATACGCAATCTGTCCCATAATGGTCACAAAATCTACATTGAAGATGAGCAACAAACAGTCAGACAGATCATGTATATGTCTGGGTATTGTATTCATGTTGATTTAGTTTTATTTTGCAGTATTGTGTTTCATTTGTTTCATATACCATTTTATATTTATTTCTATATTTGTTTTATGGGAGAATAGGCTAAAAGATAAACATGTTTTACTTCCATAAAATATTTGAACTGGACTATAAATATATGATGTAAAATGTATTTTAAAAAGTCCTTAAGTGGTATGTGGAACAAGAGTGCATATTCAACAGGATAGGACATGTTTCAAAGAATTATGAAACATTTAACAGGTAATGTTCATTATAAAGCACTGAAAAGCTAGTTAGTTAAAACAGAAAGCACATCAACACTTTAAGGAGCTTTCTTCCCTCTCCAAAAAAAGCCATTAACTCATGCTATAGAATTTTCAAATGGAAATTAGAGCAACAGCAGAAATTAGATTCAGAAAAGGCACATGGAGAAACAGGGAACATTTCAGACTTTGCACCTCAGCAGTAACTACAGGGGTCTCAAATAATTATTCTTGTTTTTCCCTTATTCGCTAAAATAAATGTTTATGTATCTTTCTGAATTTCATTACTTAGTAATAAGGAGGCTTCACCTGTCTCTCTCATTATAAAAGTGCTTTTGCTCCCTGTTTGAACAATTCCAAGTATGTGGTATTGCCCAATAATTAATAAGAGCAATTTATGATTTCAGAAATTTAAGGCATAGGGCAGACCTTTCATACAGTAAATATATATATTATGAATGAACATTGCATGGTGTTTTTCCTGCTTCAAATCCATTCAAACAACATGGATTAGAAGTTCAGCTTGAAAATTATTGGGTAAGAATCCTGGTTAGGAGATACTGCAAAAGAAATGGAGGAGGGGAAGAGGAAACAAATAAAAAATGTTGTGTATTTCACCACTCCACGTTATGGAGAGATGTAGGTTCTACTCCTAGAACATGCAGGAGTACAGGCATCACTTTAGCTAAACATTTTGGAGCGGGCAGAAAGATTTGAGTTCAGGATAGGAAAGAAGAGTTCACAAACTTATTCATGTTGTGTACCCCAAAAATTAATTTTTAGACTCAACACCTGAACTCCACAAAGTTTGCCCAGCCTGGTCAGCTACAACTTTTCCATTGGCCAGTCAGCATCTAGGATTACCCAGTGTTCCTAGGGTGTCTCAGTTTCCTAAGATTTCAGTTGCAAGCCTCTCTGACTACTGGGGAATTCTGAGGAGCTTACTGCTATGCAAGTGAGGAGGAGTTTCTCTTATCTCCTGATGGAAAACAATATGTACAGATAGTATTTTCTTTCCTTAAAAACCAACAAAATGTAAACCATCTGCAGATAAACTAGGAATTATAAAACAAGCATGCAACAAAAAACAGTTTGAAATGACATATAATAAATGTTCGCCATTAGAGGTCCCTTTTACAGTTTGGGAGATATCTTGCTTGCAATCAGAGTGCCAGAACTACTGGGTTTCACTTCACAGTTCTTTTGTCCATACTGTTCAGGAGGTAACATTTTTATCCCATAAATAGGCTTGGCAGAAATTGATTTTAATTTTTTTGTAATTTTTATGGATACTATTTTTTATTTTTAAGCATGTTTTCCTGATTTTCACAATTGCACAAAATTATTGGTTTTAAGCATTTTTAAATTATTTTATCAATTTAAATTTAAATTTTCACAGTTCTAGGAAATTGGGGGAGGGTCTAGACAATATTTTTTTAATGACAGTAGACACTGAGATTCAAAAAGTTAAAGCTTTATAACTGTTAAAATACAATTGTGAACATCACTTGTCAAAATACTATGAAGTAAATATCTTAAATCAAATACTGATAAGTTCTCAAGCTGCATTTTTCTTGCTTTGCTTAACTGTAAATTTCTGTTATCGATGAAAATATTTTTTTGTTGGTTGGTGTGTGTATGGTTAAATTAATTTTTACCAACCGTTACTGATAAAAACATTTTCTTTTCCAATCCTACCCATAATCAAAACCACTGGTGGCGTATATGTAATCCATAGTATAATGTGCAGCTAAAGGGAACATTAGTAGCATTCATCTGCTGAAGCTTCCCCATTCTGCAGTGATTTGGCTTCTCTGTAAAGGCCCACGGGTTCTCAGGCAGCTTTCACACCCTGGTTTCCCTTGGGAAGCTGACCCAGCACTACTGCATATGAGAGGCTCACAGAACTCTGACCCCTCGCAGAGGCACTGCCCTCGAAGATCCTAATTGGGGACGATGGCCAGCCCCAGCGATTGGCCAGAAGGAGGCATAGGAAGTTGTCTGAGCAACTGAGGGGCTTCCTGACTGGCTGCTGCACTGGACCTGACTCCTGTTTGATCCCTGGTTTCTGATTCCTGCTGTGACCACTGGCTTGCTTCCTGGATTCTGATTCCTGCTCTCACTTCTGTCTTGGATCCTGGATACTGATTTTAACTCTGATCACGAGGCCTGACTACCCCTACTCCGACCACTAGGTCAGACTGCCCATGTCTCAGGTCCTGACATTCTCCTCCTTTCCCCTTCTGAGTCAAATAGTTGTACCAACCTGTTTCTCGGCTTGCGGAGCCTCCTCTCCCTCCATAGCAACCCACACATCATATATACCAGCTGTCCTGTTTTGGTTCACATCAGAGGTGCCCTCTAGGTTTGTTCAAGATGGCGGCTTTCTTTAAAGAACAGAGAAAAGGAAGTCAGTATGTGGGCTGTGGCACTGATCTCTCCCCAAGAGAGCACATATTATTTTGCTGTCCCTCAGACTCCTCCCAGTCTCAGAAAGGCCAGTAAACCAGCCTTAGGATGTGCACGGTGAGGTAACATCCATATAAGCTGAGTCCAAAACCATGGAGACTGGTGATCAATGCTGCAGTCTGTGGGACCGGGCCTGGTTCAACAACATCCTGCCCAGTGCTCTGTAGAAGGCCTACCATGGGAGAAGCTGCACTTGTCTCATGCCCGCAAACAAAAACCTTTTATTATCATTTACCAAGAGAAGGTGACCCTTTGATTTTCATAGAGGGCCTTGCTATTAATCTCTTATCCTTTTATTTTAATTCCCAAATGAGGTAAAGGCAAATCCTGGTATTCCCTACATGTAGCTTGAACTCTAAGAATCAGATTTTCAAAACATAGATTGCATTTGTGCAGGTACAACTTTACATATGTATTTTTGAGTGCTATTATTTTGCATTTAAATGTTAGACTTTACATATACAAAAACCCATTTGTGTACAGAAACCAAGGACAAATGGGCTAGGGCTTGTAAATTCTGTCGTGCACATGATAGCAATACTGCCCAAACATGTATGGAATGTGTGTGGCTCAAATGTTACATAGCCACCAATGAAGGGGTGGGTGAGACTCCCCCACAGAAGTTTGACCTGATGATTTTATTTCCAGAGATCCCAACAGCTCAGGAAGTTGGAATCTCTTTTTTCTTCTATTCTCCCAAGAAATAACTCTTGTTCTGCTCTGTCAAGGGATCTTTTAAGGCTGAAGAGGTCGGTTGCCTCTTTAGAGTCATGTGACATTCAACAAGGGACATAACAACCTCCTGGGCCAAACTAGAATCTGCTGTGGTACTATAAATTTGCAAGGCAGTGACCTGGCACTTATTTACTTTCACTGCCTGACTGATTGAATGCATCAGTCAGAAGAAGAGTTCTTAGTGACTTAGTCTTGGACAAATATGATGCACTGTAGTTCCTGTGAGCCATTCATGTCTACCTGTAAGGGTGTTAGCCTCTTAGCTCGAGCATAGTAGAGAGCTTAAGCAGAAACGTAAATTTTATTTTTCTGACCAAACACCAGATTATGTTGAAGAGATCCATAAATATGGCATCCCAGCCTGATAGCCAGGATCAGGGCTGATGATAGTCTTCAACTGTTGTACATAGTTAATGAAAGTGGGGGGAGGGATAGCTCAGAGGTTTGAGCATTGGCTTGCTAAACCCAGGGTTATGAGTTCAATTCTTAAGGGAGCCATTTAGGGATCTGGGGCAAAATCAGTACTTGGTCCTGCTAGTGAAGGCAGGGGGCTGGACTCAATGACCTTTCAAGGTCCCTTCCAGTTCTAAGAGATAGAATATCACCATTAATAATTTTTAAAAAGTGAGTTGTTTTTTGAGTTAGCTGCTAGGGAAGGTGCATGTGGTGCCTGTGGTGAGTGGGCTGCTGCAGAGAGTAGCAGCATCCTGACAAGGTGATTGATTCATCTCTCTGAGTAAGAGGAGGGAAGAGGCAGCAGTCCTAATAGCTCCAGATTACAGATATATATTCAGGTGGGGGAATGAAAGTTTCTTATGTAAATGATTCAAAAACAACAACCACACACCACTACCAAGAACAACACAGTTGTTTCATTTTGTCTCTAAGATGGACACACTCTATTTAAATTATATTATCAGCTAATATTAATTATACATCATGGACCAAATTCACAGCTGGAGAAAACAGGGGCATCCCCCTTGGAAGTGTCTGGGCCACATTCAAACATGGTGTAACCAAAAGTGAATTTTACGTTGGCTTTAAGTGGCAAAGTAGTATAATTCTTAGCTATTTGTATTTGATGTGTGTGCAAAATAAATTCAGCTTACATGCCAAAGGGGGAAGATGTGGAGTGGAGTGCAACAGGAAAAGCAACTAGCAGGAGAGTGTTAGTGGGGTACAAGATAGTGTGAGGGGCCTAAAGTAAGGATATGCTTTCTTACACCTTCCTGTTAGTTGCTTTTTTTCACTAACCCCTTCCATGTAAATTACACTTACGTAGATCCACTGAATACCAGTGTATGTTACACTGCATTGCCACTTAAGCGTACTTACACCTGTTTGTATGACCAATGTACACTACAGTCTAAGTCACTGTTGAATTTGCCTCTGTATGTATAACTGAAAAATGAAACTGGCTTTGATGTTATGAATATTGATAGTTCATCGTGCATACAAGAATTAGCGGAGAGGTAGGCATTTGTAACAACACCTGTGACAGCTGTTGTTTCCTTCAATAGGTAATAGAATTTGATGATGGATCTGGATCAGTTCTCAGAATACAGCCTCTGCGGACTCCACGAGATGAAGCTATTTATGAATGCGTTGCTTCCAATAGTGTTGGAGAAATAAGTGTGTCCACTAGACTCACTGTTTTACGTGGTAAGTTCTTGTCAGACAATAACTTATTTTCTTTGATAGCGTCAAAACTATTACACCATTGCAGTGGGTTTTTTTTATAGCTAATGAAAGAAAAAGTGTTTAAGGTTCCTTTTTGTAGGGTACTGTCATATTGTGAATGCTGAAAAATGGGAACTTCCTTGTCTGAAGTTTGGATTTGGTTTTCTTTTGGATGTTTGACTCTCTAATGCAGGGGCGGGCAAACTTTTTGGCCCGAGGGCCACATCGGGTTTCTGAAATTGTATGGAGGGCCGGTTAGGGGAGGGGGTCGTGGCCCAGCCCCCACCTCTGATCTCCCCTCCCCCCAGGACTCCTGGCCCATCCAACCCCCCCCTGTTCCCTGATGGCCTCCCCCCAGGACCCCTGCCCCCATCCACACACACCCACGCCTTGTCCCCTGACCGCCCCCGGTCCCCCGCCACCCCATCCAACCC